GAAACGCAGGACTATGTAATAAATGGTCGTTCCTCTCCATCTCTCCCTCTCTCTCTCTCTCTTCACCGGTTAGGTATCCTTTAAGGAACGAGGCATCTTAAAGACTAATTGGTTATAATTAGCCAGCGGCAAGCCCGTGTGCGTATTGTGTTGCCTCGCGGAGGGATGAATAGTTGGTCCTGCTCTTTAAAACGGAAGGAGGACGTTGGAGACGGAGGGTAAAATTCACAGATGTGCCGTTATTTACGATCGGGTCACCTAACCCTTGTAATGCCAACATAACGACTTGGCCGCTATGTATTATTACCGGTTATTATTATACACATAAGGCAGCCGGCGGGGGGCGGCACTTCTTAGTCGGCACGGCGGGAGATTTATGTTGGTAGCAGGTCGTCTTAAGTGCGCCGTGTACCCCCTGATTTGTCTCTACTGTATACATGTGGAATGTCATTGCCCCTCTTGTGCCACACTTGGTGTAGTCGAGGGAAGGCCAGCCGCCAGCCACGTTAGTGCATTTGGACAACGAAGACGGTGTTAAATGATTTCTAATAACTCTTGTTCGCCTATACAACAGCTAGTCTAAATGGCGAGTGCCAAGTTAATCGCTTGCAGCCAGTAACAAATATCCCATATACTTCATAGTTATATAACGCCTTCACTCTTGAGGTGGATACCTGAGTCGAAATTCAGCGGTTAAAGTATAAACAGTTAATACGACGCATGTTTTTACAACTGTCATAATATTACATGGCACTTAATGACTATATACAAGTCAAATGAAGTTCTTACGTTTAGTCATAATATTATAATACATACATCTTTTAATTATTTTTCAAGAAACTATAAATTTAAGTACGTACATAATATTATGTTATTGTAATAATACCTCCAAAATAAAATATTGAGTACATTTTATTTTGAAAATTTGTAAATTATCAGCTAGTTGACATACAATTTTGAATATAATAAATTACATCAAAATTTTTAAAAGAAATCGTACATTAATTAATATATTAATACAAATTGGAGTCTTAATCGGCTATTTCAACACATTAAAATAATTAAATACATTAGAGTCATTGGTCAAAGTTAAACTGTATTGTCGTTTATAATTTATATCGTTAAGTAACGTGAACATTTTAATTCAACGAACACGCCATTCTATGCTATAGGTACCTAGGTGGTATATTATTATACATTTAACTTCATAAAAGGTAATTTCAAAGTTGAAATAATTGTTAGGCGTGTATAGGAGGAATTTAATGAAATTTACAATCCAACAGTAGTTTACACGAATTTTCTACTCCCTTTCTTAAGAAAACGAGGGTGCCTAATTATTCACAGTTATATCAGCAAAATGCATATATTTTAGGATGTGAAGCGACCAACTTTCGCGCAGTCTGATTCCTTAATTACGGTACAGCCGGAAGCTCTCTGGAGATTAAAACTGTTATGCACATGCTTAAATTCGTATATATGATCTACACTTTATTTAGCGAGAGACAAGAAACGAGTAATGTACACGAGCCACGTAAAATGTATACACGGAAAAAAACGCATTCGATAATTAATATTAGCGTAATTCACTTTAGAGTTTCCGTTTTCTAGGCGATATTGGATTATACCGGAACCCACCAAAGGTGACGATAAGTAACGGAATAAGGAGAGAACAGCTTAGGCGGGTTGGAGGAGAGGAACACCCTTGGAAGCTGCGGTTTCTTGGTCTGCCGGACTTGATAAAGGTTTTACGCCATAGTACGGTACAGCTGTACGGGTTTCCAGTGTAATCAGCATTTTGGTGACCACAAGCACCATGGGTCCGCAACATAACGGCTACCAGACCTCTCAAAAACGGTCTTTAATTACAAACGCGAGAACATATTAGGACCCAAAGAAGGGAGTTTGTTCGATACATTTTGGCCCATAAAGTTCAACTCATTCAAGTACTTAAGAACCAACCCCGGCTAAAGCAAACAACAGGTTATCAAAATTAATTCTTTCGGTCATAATACTAAGAGTAATTTCTTGTTTCTCGGCAAAGACATTTAAACTGTGTTCCCTACAAAATATTAATCATTGATTTGTCTGCAAAATAATAATGCGATTCGACTGGTAAAATTATATTCTTGACACACTATAATATTATTATTATTTTCTACGCCATCATTTTTCATAAATAAATATGAAAAACAGAGATTTATGTTATATCCAGTGGATTATAAGTTATATCTTATAGATTACAGCTATTACTATACACCAATTAAAATTCATTAAACCTATTATGTGCATTAACACATAATTAGAGATATATTAGAATTATACAGGTATTTTACTAAAAACGTGAGTTCTATATTTTTTTAATTTTTAGACCGTAAACAATAATGGATGCATAATAATTATTTGTTATAAGTGTTATGCGTATTGGATGTATTAGGAATGTACTAGGTACTTAACCAATAATAATTATTGATAAAATCATGTACCTATTTTGTTTATCATATAAATAGTATTTTTGTGTTTATATTATGTTTATTTTCAAAACTACGGGAATAAATATCAATTTGAGCGAACAGAATCTGATAAATTATTGACTCCGTAGGCGATACAATGACATAAAAAAACTCCCTTCTCTATTGGTCTGTATTGCAGTTGGGTTTTATTGATATGCTTGGCCTTTGTCATTTGTTACGTTCTTTTTTTTTATTTTGTTCTGGTTTCCTGTTTTCCCATCTCATCGTTCTCCAAAACACTACAGCCGGTTAGATAAATCCGATTTTTATAGAGATTACAAAACATTTAACCTGTTTTTCTACGAGCAGACTTATTTCCCGGACAACACCATAAATTTCACGGTCGGCTTCGCGCCGTGCCCATTTGAAAGACGTGTATTGGGGCGCGGAATCCCGCGACAGATACGTCCAATTCCGGTAGAACGAAAAAATAAACGCTTCGGGTGAATTCACAAAATGAATGCAAACACAGAAAGTTTAAAATTTATTAGAAAAATCACACCGTCTCAAGAATTTTACATTTGTACAGTTGTTCACATAAACTCGGAATACAATTTGTAATATAATTTTTTACATAATGATATCGTTAGTCATAGAATAAACTATTAAAATGTTTATAAGAAGTGTGCATGATTGGAATCGTTCTTGTGAAAAAATATAACATAACAACAACTTATTTTATATCACATATTTTGCATATTTTAAACTTTTTTTGCTTAGGTATTTGTAATATACTTTTATCAGTGAGTATTTTGTATTTTTTGCTCATATTTAGCAACAGGGTTTATTCAAGATATACAATATAATATCCAGAAAAAATATGGATAATTTTACAATAATCTAGATTCCAAATTCAGATAATGGTTTTTACTTATATCCAATCATCAATTAAAAAAATTCTTTATATGAATTTTTTTGTTTTCCAATATTTTTGTTTAAAACGCATGAAAACAAATATATTTGTTAATTATTATAGACGATCGTTTTTATGATTTTATCACCATTAATTTGATGAAAACCATTTTAAAATCAATCAATCCTATATTTTAATTGTGAACAAAAGTTTACAACTTAAACACTAACTCAAAATGGAGGTATTCTAACTCTCAAAGCTAAAAATAATATTTATTTTTATAACGTATAAGTTATGAGCTATTCTTGACATAAAATACTCTTCAAATTATTTATTAGCATAGTAATTCTAGATTTTAGTTGAAAATGTTGAATTTATCCTTTTTCCATTTCATCAACTTACTTTTTTTTAAATATTTAAATAATCGTGATTTGTGATAAATCAGATTAAAGTTCGCTGTAAAACCGAGTATCTAATTACAGATTCAAGCGAGACAGGTAAGGTTGTAAGGTAGTAAGTTTTTTTAACTTCAAAACCGAATTTATGATTTACTTAATACTGTTTTTATATACAGCCAAACTTGGTTAACTCGAACTTCTATAACTCGAAATCGTCGATACTTCATACTTAACGTACCACAATCTTGAATGTGCCTCCAAAGTCCAGGCAGAATATGATAGCGTAAACGACAATCGACGATTTTGAAATCAATAAATCCCTTTTTAATGCATTCATAGTGCTAATTTCAAAGTATAACTTGTCAGTTTTTAGATTTGTATTTTATTGCATTTGTCTTAGCAAACCACTTTAAAGCATAGACAACTGAAGATCAATGGAATACGAAAGTTACCATGCCCTTAGCTCTGATTTTGAGAATATCCGGAAAATGAATAAGTGAAATTGAGGTTAAATTAAGTAATATGGAAAATCGATTGGAATGTAATGTATTAGAGCATTACAGGGTTTTTCTTTAATTTTTGTCTCGTCCCCATATAGTTTATCGTAAATTTTACTTTTAAAACGATTTCACCCTCACTTATGATTATAATATTTTTTTATTTAAAATTGATAATATCTTTGACTCCTTCACTTTTTATAAAATATAGAAGCATAATATAATATTTTGCTTTAAATATTATACATTGATACACAATTTTATTTTTGTAGACATACTTTTAAGTTATAAGTTTCGCGACAAAAGAGTCGGCCACGTATGTCAATTACCCAAAGTACCGCAGTCCGCAACATATGACAAATTTAAAAGGTGACCAATAAAACGATACGGCCAATCGTATACGACAAATTTGAACCACGGTCCATGGTCAAATAACCTTTTAAGTTTCGCCCTAAGACCATAACAAAGACGTATTCTAAATATTATAATACTATTGTAGCTCACGGTTAAAATTACTTAAAAGCTAATAGTGTGCTGCTCTCTAGATGGAAAATTCTGCGAAATGTAAAATCTTTTCATTGTGAGTAGATATCGCCACAAGTGTAAAAAAATCAATATGTTTGTTTTTCACTAAATATTTTGTCCCAGCAGATAGCACTCTGTACAATAGTATTTTTTTCTTAAACGCTAGATGGCAGCATATAATATATCATAAACACATTTTGTTGTTCACCTAACCTACCTGTTTGTTAACTGGAGGCAGTATCAGTTTTCTTCGCTTCATACATGGAGCATCTGGAGGCTTAGCAGCGGGTCGTTTAGATGGTGGCAAAATGGATGGCAGTTCTAGGATATGTCTAATGGTGTGCTTGGACTTTGGTTTTATCATGATTGTGTTGAACTCAAAACACTCTTTTGCAGTCTGAAAATAGGTATATTAAAATACATAGATAAGTAAAAATCATTACAATAATAACGACTAATAAGTAGATAGGTATCTAATTTTCAAGAAACTTAAAAATTAACTGCAGTGTTATAGTGTAATAAATAATAATAAATAATTGTTTATTGTAATATTGTGAAATAGAAAGGCACTTTCGTACAATCGTAAGAAAATATATGTTATAGCTAGTATTATAGGATAAATATGTACGTTTTTAAGTGAGATAAGTAGTTATTTTTTAGAAAATAGGTTTTTTTAAAACAGTTAACAAAATATTTCGCCGATATTTTTAGTAACCTAAATTAATTTTTAAACACACTACTACAACGTTAACGAAATTTGAATACAAATTAGAATTCAATTGAATTACCTGCATTGAAAATAGTAAAATTAAATTTTTTTTCTATTCCCTTTTTGTCAACATTTTAATTACTTTAAGTAAAATATATCGTTTATACCAACCAATAATCCTTAAGAGGATCTCAGTCTTACAAACACATAACATAGCACATTGTACGTTCTAAATAATTAATTTAACTTCGTCATATTTAACCTTAGAGTGAATTAACCTATAATCAAATTTAGTAGTAAGAATATTATCTAGACGATGACATAGGTTTTTTTTTCATTTCAATTTTAAAGCGAATTATGAGCATTTTAAGATGTACAAACAATTTTATTTTTTTAAATACTCATAACTCGCTTTAAAATTGAAATATGAAAAAAACATATGTCATCGTCTAGATAATATTCTTACTACTAAATTTGATTATATGTTAATTCTAAAATTAAACATACCGAAGATAAATTAATTATTCAGAACGTATAAAGTGCTATGTTATGTTTTTGTAAGACTAAGACAAAGCATGCGGGTATGGCGACCTCTTAAAGCATTTTATATTTAAAATTTTAAACTTATTAAATAGTTTTTAAATTTAATTTTGTAAGATAATTTTTTTTGAATATGATAATTTATGTGATTTTAACGATCATACTACATAATAATAATATTAATATTGCCGTTTTTTATTTTTGTAAAAAAACTATTTTACTATACAGTTTATATTTAAATAAATAGAAATTATTGAAATTTAATATAGTTTATATTGGTAATTTCAATTTTCATGAAATGGACAATACCTATATCGTGTACTTTGTGTAATTATTATTTTATTATATAATGGTTCATAAACTATCATTATACATTTATACGTATATTATATTTAATTTTTCACGATTGATTAATATATAGGTAATTTTCTATATTGTTCTATACACAAAAATATAGCAATTATTGTCAATAAATTGTATCATATTACATTATATTTTTATTTTATTTTTCATAAACTATACGTATATTATATTTTATAAACAACAGTGTTACCTATGTCCTATATTAAGTGTTATAAAATATTCATGAAATTAACTATAATTATAACCTAACCTACAGATCCCCCAAACATAATTTGCGTGATCACGGAACAAAAAAAAAAAGGATTATATAAACTTGGAACAAAATATGGTTTACTCAAAGGATGGTTCAGTAGTGAATGTTTGAAAAAATCAACAACTCAATTTCTCACTACTGATCAAGTTGATAAAAATGTTGAATTTTAGGTGAGAGAAATGATTAAAAAAATTTCAGGAGGGCAAGGATTTTTGTCTTGTTCGTGTAAGGCAAAAAATCCTTGCCAATCAAGTAGGTGTACTTGTTTTAAAAATAATATGCACTGGAACAGTCGATGTCATAATCAATCGTCATGTAAAAATAAATAATAAGGAAAAAATGAATGTAAAGTTTAAGCCGTTTAAGGTATGTTTAAGTTAATCAATTAGTTATTTTGTAAGGTAATAAAACAATAGAGAAATATAGGTAGTTAAATATTATAATTATAGTTAATTTCATGAATATTTTATAACACTTAATATAGGACATAGATAACACTGTTGTTTATAAAATATAATATAAGTATGGTTTATGAAAAATAAAATAAAAATATAATGTAATATGATATAATTTATTAACTATAATTGCTATATTTTTGTGTATAGAACAATATAAAACATTACCTATATATTAATCAATCTTGAAAAATTAAATATAATATACGTATAAATTTATAATGATAGTTTATGAACCATTTTATAATAAAATAATAATTACACAAAGTACACGATATAGGTATTGTCCATTTCATGAAATGGATGTCCATATAATGTATTTTCGTCAAAATTCACTATCTGGACGAATTTCACTATCTGGATATCCAGTTCATGAAATGAATAGTTTCACTATGTGGATGCGACATATACACATTAATTACTAACCATTTATATACAAAGTAAAAACTAATAATACTAACTATTTTCACTGTTACTAAATAATCAACAACCATTAAAATAGTCAAGTTCAAATATTCAAGTGTACCTGACTAACGTATATTCGGTTTATAATGCCAATGTAAATTATTTTGAATACATGCAATTAGCATTATATTTTATTATAGATACAATTCATGTAAACATTGAAGGGTTGGTAGGTATTATATTATTGTGTTCGAATAGGTGAAAAACATTTGTATAACCGACAAAAAGTCTTCTATGAATACATTATGATTAAAGATGAAATGCAATTTTATTAGTTTTACTAATATCATCTCATCTATACCTATCTGAGTATAAAATATTAATCATAACGAATTTAATTTGAAATACTAATAATCGAATTATCATGACAGTTATCTATATACCTAGCGACGAAGCAAAAATCGAATATTGCACCCGACCATACCTTGCGGTACTCTGCACAACGACCAGTGCACAAATCGTTATCGTTCTGACATCAATCCCCAAGAGTAGTATACTGTAGTTCTGTATGCGTCCGGCCAACATTACATCCTTGTTTTCAACGGTTGCGGTTAATCGCACAGATGAAAAAAAATCCGAGGAAAATGCCTATTTTATCAAAATGTCCCCCTTACTTCCATAAAGAATTAAACGAATTTACATAAAGCAGTATGGAGTGCGAGATACATCATGTCATGCTCCGAGTCTGCATAATACCATATAAGTAAACAATATTATGAGATAACCATCATGATAATTTTTTGTTGACTTAAACCGCATAGGTTATGTATACATATATAATACACATATAGATTTAGTCATAACTAGTCATTTTATATTGGATATAACAGAAAGACCTGACAAATAAAATATATTTTGTTCTCATCAATTTTTTTAATATCATTTGCAGACGCTTGCACAATATGTATAGTATAACAGTTTTGTTTTTATATTTTAATACTGAAAATAAACATTTTAAGTCAGATTTTAATTTTTGTTGAAAAATTTAAAAGAGCCAAATTGTTAGTATGGTTTCATGTAACCTTTTGATTGTAAAAACATTTAACTAAGTCAAGTGGTTTATTTAAAATGTCAAAACTTTTTGAAGTAAGACTCATTAATTTGAAAAGTAATAACTTTTTAAACAAATATTTAGATTTTAAAAATCACCTATTTCAAAATGTTCATAAAATAAAATAAAAATAGAAAATGTTATCCTGCACATGAAGGTAATCACGTCATTTAACATCTGTAAAACACATGATATATGTTTAGGTACATGTATATTTATTAGAATAAAAGGTATTTCATTTGTCAGGACTTTATATACACCCTGTATACCTTCTACAACAGGTGGCTGCAGGTACCCAATGTTTCGGTAGACTTTGTATGACTTTCTTGTTACTTTTATATTACTCCCATTAACTTGGAATTACAATCAAACAATGCAAGTTTTTTTTACATTTAAATAATCTAAATTATATTTACGACACATTAAGCTAATCTTGTGTTATACTGAAACAAATTCGTAAACATAACTGAATTTGAATAAATTATAATAGCTTATAGTAGTATAATACAGCACAATAAATATACATATTTATAGTGAAAACCGAACAACTTAAATGTTATAGAAGTTAATTGACAATATTTTAATTTATCAATATAAACTCTATAATTGGTCGATTATACGTATTGTTTGGTAGTAATTAATCCACTTTAAAATTTAAATATATATGAAACTGTGCTTGTAAACAATACTAATAAAAAAAGCTTTCATAAAGTTTAATAATTTTATATTGATCTTTATAACAAAAGGTAACGATGACGTTCAATTAGGTAGCGTGATGGGTACATGGAAAATGTGAATAATATATAGTATTATTATATAGGTATGTTCTATATACGGTGCGTTGTTTAAGACAAATTAAGAAATATTTTCTTTTAAGAATTAAAGAATATTATAGCGAAATAATTTACAGTTAGGATTTTAATTGCTATTAATTTTGTTTAAAAATGATTGCTATTTATTTATTGACTCGTAGGTTATTAAGGTTATTAAGGGATTAATTGGGTTAGCTAAAGGTCATAAAGTATAGGTTTTGGCTAGTATAGTCTTCTATTTTAGATGTATTATTTACCAATACCTATATTTTTGTTTAATAACATATCTACCAGCTTTAAAATTACGAAAAGGGTACAGCTATTAATTAATGATTATACTGTGTTTGTTTTGTTTTAGTAGTTGATTCGTAATATTGTCTATACATTATGGAGCTCATAAGCAAATATTCATCGGTTGCTAAAAGTTGTGTGTAAGAAAAGTAAGTAAATATTTCTCATATTTACATAATATGCATCAGGTAAATAGATAAAGTAGATACCTACGAAAATTAGCTTATAATATAGGTACACGAAAAGTTTTTAATTAATTTTCTTATTGAAAATATATAACAATTATTTATAATAAAAAATATATATATGTATGTATATTGATTGTTTTAGACTTGATATTATTATTATTGCAGTTTTTTGTAGAAAATTTTTTTTCGTTCATATAAAATCATTTTGTAAGTTAAATTGAATTAGGTATATCTGTTATTATTGGTTAAACATGTGACTAAAAATAGTCGAACCAAGAATTAAAAGAATATATAGTAGGCAGTAACTGCCTACTTCATTGTTCATGATTGTTCAGAGGACTTTAAAATCATCAAATATAGCTAGGTATTTGATAAGAATGTAATAACAATAAAATATTCACAACATGAGATTAAAATTTTGGATTTTATTCTCCTTTTAGTAGAGCAAATTTAAAGCTCAGGGAAAATGTTTCAAAACTTCATATGTATGATTAATTTGTTTTTAGTGTAAGTAAAAATCTTCATATTTCATCATTATTTATTGTATTTATGTATTGAAGTCTTAGTTATTTATTTTTACTGCAGTATCGTACATAAATGACAATGAATAACCGAATTATCCGATTGTATTAACCTATTCCTATTCATATTATAAATGTTGATTATCATACTTAATTTAAGGCAAGTCGCAAGTGTAAAATGTTTTTGTTATATACATTAATTGTATTTATAATAAAAAATATTGATCTATAATAATAATAATGTATTTTATTTACATAGGATTTGTATGAATAAGATCCAAAACAAGAATCTAAAGAACTTAGATTTTTAATAAATAGTGAGTACTTAATATACCTAATAACTGATAAGTATAATATTTGATTTTATAAAATGATTAAAAAAGCTAACAATATATTTCTCTCATTAAATTTAATTCTGGTATTGGTATGTTTAGTTGACTTCATCAACCGTACATTATGAATTTGGAGAATTTGTTCAACGGTGGACCAGTGGCTCTTAACTTATCGATGTACAAGCAACTAGGATATTATCAACTGTTAGACCCGAAGGGACCGCATATATACGGATACCATCTTTACAGAACAATTCTGAAAATATTCCTCTTGATTGTTCAATTTATTGCTATTTTTGGGGTGATGGGTTTCTTTATTAAGATAGAAGATACCGATACCGACCCTGGTAAATCGAATTCCTTCGAATTAATTATTATCCTAACAAATTGTTCACTATCGTCGTTGAAAATGTATACACTAGTTTCAAATTCTAAAATAATTTGGGATCTTTTCGACCTCACGCGTATAGACTTTTTGAGATGTTCTCGGCATAGTAAATTGATCAAGGCAAACTTCATGAAACGTTGTAAAAAATCAACTACGATCACAAAGTGGATCGCTCGCTCTTTTCTCGTAGGACTAATTTTATGGGTGATGGGACCATTCATCGCTAATGAAGAGTACACTGAACCCAACGTTGTTCGTCGACATCAAAATATTATCAACATAAAGTTTCCAGTAACCGTGAAGACCTATAACAATTACTACTTTGTGTTTTATTTTATGGAAGTGGCTGTAGGTTTTTGTATCGTTTATGGCTCGGTTTTAATAGATGCTTTTCTTATGTCATTTTGTTGGATTATTTCGGCACAATATCAATCGGTCACCAAAGCATTTGCAACATTTGGATACAATAAACAGGGATCTCCAAAAGGTGAGGCAATTAAAATTGCTTTAAGGCATAACAAAAATATGGTTGTGATTTTTTTTATTTTAGAAATTTATAAAGATTTCAAATCAATTATAATCGACCACCAAAATGTTTATTTGTAAGTATCCTTTTCGGTATGGAGATATTTTGATTTGTTTTGAACTTTGATGTAAAATATTGTGCTAATCAAAATTGTACTTAGCCTCTTATCTAAACACACATATATAATATATATAGCAGATATAGTGCATTATTTATAATAAATAATAAACGTACCAATAGGTCCAAAAGGTACCATTAGGTACTTACTTTAAAATTAAAATTTCTATGAACAATTGTTTAAGTGTAACTACAGTTAAGACTTGTTTGTGTTGGTAAATACTATGGTATTGTTACTTTTTAGAAAAATGAAATCATTCTATGCTGTCGTGCGACCCATTACTCTCATTCATGTTTTTGCTTATTCGTGCTCATTAATTATGTACGCATATGTCATCGTAACGGTAATATAAAAAAATATAGATAGATGTATTGAATGAAAAGTTTTTTACATGGAATATATGTAATTTGTTAAAATTAGATAATATTTTCTGAGTATTTTGTTTGAAATTATGTATATACTATAGATCTTCCATTCAAAAGAATCTTTCATTATTGCTGAAATAATGAAAATAGTAATGACGGTATCAAATGTCACGATTGAAGTGTTTATCTTTTGTTATTTATTCGAACTTATCGACAACAAAGTAAGCTAGTGTTTAAATAAAACGACGTTGTAAATGGTCTGTTATTATTACGGTATTTGTTTCTGGTAGAAAGAAGATGTGAACTTTGGATTATACAGCTGTAATTGGACTGGGATGGACATAAAGTTTAAACAACTCTTGTTAATGTCAATGAAAATGAACAATGCTAATCGATTGAAGTTAAAAGCAACGCCAGACGTAACTATCAATCGGCCATTTTTCGCAAATGTATGAATAAACTGTAATAAACAGTATTATATTTTAGTTATTCTATAATAATACATATATAGTTAATAATGTCATAATATTTATTTTTTATTAGTATTTATTCATTGGAATTTACGTGATGGCTTATAGAATCATAAAATATGTTTTAGGTGATCCACACTTGTTTTAAAATAGTTTCAGTTTTAATCCAAACTCAATCCATCGACTAGTTATACTGAATACAATAGGATAACATAGATACGGATTTACAACATCAGAATTCATAATATAAAAAATATTCAATGGAATTTAAAACAAAATACATAACTACCTAGATACACGTTAAGTTGAGCTGACTTCAATGTCTAGAAAATAATTTTAGAATCTACAGACATATTAATATATTATGTAATAGAACTATAGTGTAGTATATAGGTAGCTATACTAAAATTATTAAACTATACATAGTAAATATTACTGTAACTATATTTAAAATGTGCCATGTATAACACACCCAAATTTTAAAGAGAAAATAAAATGTTAGTAAAAATTGCACATATTATTATAATACTATTTTCGCAATTTTTTTCAACCATAAAATGTTTTTAGGTATTGTATCCTAATGATTAATCACAGGTTTGTTTATAAAAATGAAAATGAATATCAAATGTCAATATTTATAACTATTTATAATAGTTAAATTCACAAATGCACTATAGTTATATTATTTTACCTAATTATTATTAATAATGTTATACATCGACACATGTATACAGTATACTTTATACCAAATGTGAGGGTGTAATTTATTTTGAAAACTAGGTAGGTACTCTATATTTTACAAGATTTATACAAGAATGAAACTTTTAATTTATGTTAAAATATATATTTAATAAGTACGAACAATTTATTTATTGTGTGACATCTGCTTTCAATGGTAAAGATCTACCTACTTATCGTGGTTCAATCAATTATATTTTTTTGAATTATGTTAATATAAATATTTCTAGAATATTGTAAATTGTAGATCAAAGAAAATACATAACTTTGGTCAGCAAAATGTTTTTATAAAATGTTATATTTTTTCTTCCATTATTTAACGATGTCTTCCTTACTTCAATAAAAGTTTCAAAAGCCGAAAGTGAATTTGCGAAGATCGTATAGCGTATCTAATAATGTTAATAAACATTATTTTACCAAATTATTTAATAGATCAAATTTTCAAATGTTTTTTCTTTTAATTTACTAAGTAATACATCAATATTATTTAATCTAATTATAAATAATCAACAATAGTTAAAATATTAAATTGGATATGGTTAAGTATTATAGGCGGGTATACTATCTAAGACTGCGGCATGATTGAATATGAATTTGATGTATGTTGAACATTTATTAGGTAGTTTTATATAATTCTATAAAAAAACGTCATCGTCATGTAAGCTGACAGTATAGGCATACGATTTAGAATAGTACTTATCGCAAAACCTTTTTGATTATTAAACGATTGAGCTCTCAGTCCATGCAACGTTGTAAATGTTTGGGTTTGATATATTATGAATTTGTCTACCTAACCTAATAATGCGTTGGGTATTGGTCATCCATAAAATAACAACTGTTTACAATTAACAAAATTTAGAATATTAGAGTTTTTATATAAACTTTTTAATTTGAATATATATTACAGATACGCCACTTATATATTATGGCAACATTGCACAGAATTGTATGCTCAACATTACTGTTTTTTTTAGTCTACGGTTATTTACTCATTGTTTCATTTCGAGTGCGCTCAATCGGACAACCAAAAAGGTGAATAGCGCTCAATCGTATGGTAACTAAATGGATACCCAATCAGAACCATAAATTATATTTATATTTATACAAAAACACACTACAACCCTGAGCCGAGTTTACCAGCATGTGCCGACTATAGTAGGTACCAAGGAATTTCTTTTTGACTTCTGATTATGGGTGCCGATAATAACGCCCTACGTTCACAATGTATATGGTTTAAATGCAAAGCTCTTCGAAGGAAGTTTTTCCAGAGTAAGGAATTTTCATATGAAAAACAGGTACCTAATAACAACGGTTCATACTGAATCCTTCAAACCAACTAATTTACTTTGATTTTTGAATAATATTGTCAGGTATTTAAAATTACATTGTACAAAGTACCTACTTATAAAAAACAAATTTAACTTTAATTTTTTCTTACCATTTTATTTTCATTGAAGAATTCTATCTTGTTCTTGAGTTAAATAAGGAAAACTGAATTGCATGTACGATCTGAACATCATTTGCTGCAAATAAAAAATAACAAATTAACACTACAATTTAAAAATAAAACGTTAATAAATTGATAAAAATACATCAGGAAATCTAGAGAGTAAGGATTATAGTTGAGATAACAGTTATTTTAAACGTAGAAGTTAGAAATTGTGAACAAACGAGTAAAATAACACTTATGAATATAAAATATCTAATTATTTTGCCGATTTCCACCCAATTAAAAACATATTCAATCTACACAAATAATACCATAGGACACATTATAAGACCCCAAAATACAGAATATTTTTCAAAAAAAATATCAAACACTGAAAATAGCAAAAATATATCAGCCTATATTATGCTTTTGACCTTTAAAATCGTCTTCGAACAACCCATTTTATACCCAAATACCGAACTCCCATGGTAAAAATCTATAATAATATTTTATTTTTACTTGGACACTATAAAATCGTTAAATTTAAAATACAATTACATTTAAATTATTCTTAAACAAAATATTAAGTATTAAAACGTTTAAAACAATTATTTAATTCTTGTCATTATTTCTGATATGATAATATAAGATGAACCTAATAATATATTTTTTTGTGGGGGTGTTTATTGACTAAACAGTCTAAAATTTAAACTCTTATTATTCTATTCTAATATACCTATTATACCCTATTATACTTAATATAAATGCATTAAATATTTAAATACAACTACCTACCTATCTGAATAAAAAGCAAAGATAAGATGAACTGTAATTTAAAATATCTGGGAACTTCACTCTGCTTTGTAATAGGTTTCGACTTTCGCTAGAGCACCTCGTCTTTGAGTAGGCCATTTCAGTATAATGGATGTGTTAAAGTTTAATTCAATGGTTATAATCATTGTAAACGAAAAAACAATTTTGTACGAAGGGTACTAATGAATCAGCGTCCATTTTTAAGATCGGATAGCAGATTATTTTACATTATATTTACAATTGCATTAATTACTAGTTAGTGCCTATTATAGTTGTTCATATAATTACTAGTTACTCAATTCAGTAAATTGAAGACATTTTTTTCAAAAGACATTGCAGTGATTTTATACTATGCGGCCCTCTAGTATTCTATAGTATGTCGTACAGTCATGTCACTATGGTGACATTCGAATTCGTAATCGGGTACTTCATTTTTTGTTGTGGTTGATTGTTAAAAAATAGTGGATATATATTTGCAACTAATAAATAATCGTAGGTATTTATTTTTTTCGTATCGGCAATCCGTTTTTACAACCCCCCCCCCCCCCCCCATAAGTAACCAAAATCCAAAATATCGCTTTTATCCAAATCGTGACGTCAATCCCACGTAAAAAAAACACCATTGTGAAACCATAATCATGGCCACCACAATCTAAATAACTATACATTTTATACCATTATAAGACATAATATTATATAAATTGTTCATACATTTTATAAAATTTGAAATATTTTCAAATCACACAGTTTTTAATTCATACAGCTTTTTATACTTTAATATCAATACGAAAAATAAACATAGTATTAACTAACTAAATTCATTAAATATTTTTAATACAAATCAAAAATGAGTACGTAGTATTATTGGGTTCATCAGCTTTGACAAAATAACTGCCATTTGGCATTTAAACATCTAGAAGACGGCGATCAATTTCAGAGCTTTTCCAGGATGGAGAAAAAAATTTGATTTGATGGTTGATTTAATTGGACCTATCGTTCAAAAAAAAAATAATACCAATTATAAACATTAATTGTGTCTTTGAGAACGCATACTTATATACCCTCAGGTATATATAATTAGGTAATATAGTGAATATGAATATTTATTTAATTTAATTTAAATTTAAATCTATAACGTACGCGTGTTTTCAGTTAGTTACTATATTACACGAAAGACGCCTACGACCTATATGATTATAATATGTCCATAAGCATTTCAAAATGTTAAACATGAACAAAATTAAATTAAACCTTGAAGATTAAGGAAGATATGTGTGTAATTATTTCTGTTTGAAAATTACTTTGTTTGAGATGTGTTAATAAGTTAAAATACTCTAAGCCGAGTAAAACAAATATGAATGTTTTCAAATTTTAACTATTTTTTTACGATTTATACTATCATGATGAAAACATTAGGTAGTTAATCTATACACAAACTTTACGTGTACAAATGAATATTTTATTTTTCTAATTCTACTTAAACGAAGGCACCTTTCTGCTATTTTTATTGATATTTATTTAATCTACAAATAATAATAAATATAAACTCATATAACAATGGGTATTTTAATGTGGTAGTGTTATAGCATAGGTATAAATTAATTAATAATCTCGTAGGGTTAATACGATAGTCATAATGTTGTTTTTTTTTGTTCTCCAATGACGCTTGTGTAAATTAAACGGAGCTTAGTGAAATACAAAAAATTCACTTGCATTTAGCACAACATATACCGTAGCTAATAAATAAATGAAAAAATACTCCCACCTAGTAAAAAAAAAGAAAGACCACCCGAAACAGTTTCTTTACTTTGGGATAAAACTTGTGTGTATACGGTGGATATATATAAATAATAAAAAAAAAGGTCGAAAGGAGTTCATCATCGAGAGCTGCTTTGGAGAGATGAATTGCTGTTGGCTTGCGATGGTCTAGGTGGGTGGCTGTGGGATGGATGGGTGGATGGTGGTGGGTAGGCTGACATTCACTTAAGACAGGGCGATGCTGTGATCATCGGAGAGAAACATTTGTGTGGTTGGGGCTTGAGGGGGTGGGGGGTGCATGCGGGATACAACAGTATATAGTATATAGTGTGGACAAAGATTTATTCGAAATTTATGCGACACAACAAGCCGCCAGGGAGTCTGATGGCTCTTCGTATCTTTTAAATCGTACGGTCTTGTGAAAATTGCTGGGCCTCTCGCTGTGCACTTATACATGCATTCTCTGCAGTATTATATATGTGGTCTGAATGAATGATTTGTTCACCTTATTGTTATTACTTATTAGTATTGTTAGTATTTCAGTTGTTGTTATTTTCATAACAGTTATTATAATTTCCAGCGTGATTTCATTTTCAGAATCAATTTAGACGAAATTCAAGAAATCGAGAGTAATATCAAAATAAACATTTTTTCAATAATATACACAATCAATTTTTAAATAGAAAAATTTTAAATTTAAATTAAATTTTAAAACGTGTAGGCGTACGAAACTCACGGATGACGATCCTGCTCGTATGATTCATAGGAAGAAATTAAAATTAAAATAGTGAAAATGTAAACCCAATATTTGAAATAGATAAAAAGAAAATGTTGTTTAATATCTAATTATAAATCTAAAAACAGTTAAATCTCCGTTTTGCAATATTATAAAAATCATAAAATCATTTTATTATATTTAAATTAGATAAAACTAATATTGATAAGCAAAATTTAAATTAAAATCAAAAAATTTCATTTCAATTTCAAGCCACACTATATTTTATTATTGTCCACTATATTGAACCACATGCGTCCTCAAAAAAAATAAAATATGCAATACTCTATTAATTATTTATGCCTATACAAATAAATTTTAGTATAAACAAAACAATCATTTATGTATCACTGGCTATTTGGTATTTTAATCGTTAATTTCGTTTTTTCAAAATTGTTGATAGATTAATTTAAATATAGCTGAGCAGTTACAAAACAAAAATATTTCAACGGACTCGGATGATGAGAAAATTGATTACTTTAAGCAATTTGTATAATATAAAAAGGAACGACGATAGAAACAACTAAATCGATGCGAGAACCCGAAGAAAGAACATAGTATACACTACACTCTATATAGGATCACACTCGAGGTTCATACAGGTTTTAACTGAGTTATAATATAAAATCGTACCTAACACATCAAAGAACTCGATGAAATACAATATTGTTGTATTATCAACCAGTTAAAAGTAATGAATATTTATAATATTGTATAACAAACGTATTTTAGCTTGAACAATTATTTGATCGAATAATTAGGATTGCTTTATAAAATGTAGGTTCTATCCTAAACACCTTTCTAATCAAATTTAAAATGACATAACTGCTGCGATTCCTTTTTTTATTATTAAATAGCTCAGTCATGAATAAGCCATAATATAATAATATATACCTAACATTACAATTTATTAAAAACATAAAACTGTATAAAGGTTATAGGTTTCAACGTGGCGTCAACCATTTTAAATTTATTTGAAGTACAGGGTGGCAAACTGCCACTTAAAATATAAACATCCATTATAAAAATTAAAGTTTAAAATATATATGCACTATACAATGTATAATATAACAAATAAAAATAAATATCTAGTTTGAGTATTCGGTTGTTTTAATTTAGTTTAAGTTATAATTATGTGGTGTTCATAAATCTTAATTATATATAGTACACCGATTATTAATTTAATTATAAACTTCAAAAACTACAAATATATTTGAGAATTGAGATAAATTATTAATATGTTTAATATTTACCAGTTAAAAAATGAAATATGACAGATTAAATATAAACCGTAGGATAATAGTGAATATTGACCAATTTTAAGATCTAACAGCACTTAAGACGCGTAATGTTAAAATATAATCCATGAATATCAATTTGAAGATTTTAAATTTTAAATTTTTATAAAACAAACGCGAAGATATAAATTTAAAATGTAAAACAATATTTAATGTTTAATTGAAAATATATGAAATTTTTGTTTTTATAAAATGTTATTATAATTAGAAATAAGAGGTTAAAAATTTAAATATACCTTAAAAATAAACATTTCGCTTAGTATTGTTTTTAATGTACGATGAATTATCATTGTTTTCAAAGTTTCAATTTAAAAAAACATTAAAATACTATACTGCAACGAGGGGAGGAATACGAGACGAACAACTTTTACCCTGGCTCTTCAAATATCTTAAATTTGTAATTCCTTTTTTTGTTTAAAAATTAACATAAAATAGAAAACTTACCAAAAT